ACGCACCGGGGCAACCGGCTCTTAAGGGCTCCAGCTATTCACACGCAACTAGAATTGAATTAGAATTTAACCCGTGCTTTGGGCGCGTCCTTTGATCCATAGAGTTTACGAAATCATTTGCCAAAAGGCGTTTCCAGCGAGGGTTCTTCTCTGGCATTCCAGAGTTGGGCAGAGGTTTGCAGTTGCTTCTTTTGAGATCAAAGAACTCATTAAACAGTCACCATCCATCAAAAAAGATAGAAGGCCTTGTATTTTCCCTGAATTCCGTGCGGTCAAAATGTCATGCTTATTGCTTTTGGACAGGGATTATGCCAGTCAGGCTTCAAACATCAAGAACTCGCCAACACAGCTTGGGCATTTGCAAAGTGCGGGTTGTTGCGGCCTCAGCTTGACAAAACGGTTGGGTTTGTTTCTTTGTTGGGCAGTGCCCAGTGCCCTTTTTCATTCTTCATTCTTTTCCGGTTCAGGTTACATCAACTCTCTGAGTGGTTACTGTGGTCACCAGGAGCCCCTAGTAGCGTCCTTGTTCTAATTCTCTTTATTCATTGATACTAATTCTCTAATTTCTTTTCCTCTATCCCTCATTGATGAGTGGTTACTATTTCCCTTTGACTTCTCTGCCCACGGAAAGCGGTCAATCCAATGATTGTGTCATCTAGGGAATCCACCTGGGAATGTTTTTTTCAATCTTTTTGTATAGGACTTGCTAGTAGGATGGAGGCCATCGCTACTGGTAACAAGAAGCCAGTAGGTTGGAGGCCACCAAACGTCTATAAAGATAGTCAAGGTGTAGTGTCAAGGTCATTCTACTTTCACCTACCCCGCCCCCCACCGAAAAACAAAAAAGCAACTAGGAGCAAGGACGCTACTAGGGGCTCCTGGCATTGCTACTAGGAGCAAGGATGCTAGCTACTAGGGGCATGTCATGTCAAGCAGCTTAAAAAGCCTGAGGTGGAATGACCAGCTCGCTCGAAGCCTTGCATCCCAATGCTTGGACCCTCTCAACTTGAACAGCGTTGCTTTATATTTTAACTTTTGGTGTTCTGTGCTTATCAATAGAGAGTAGACAAGAAGAGACTCAGGCAGGGGATGTAGATAGAGGTAGGTCTCCAGCTGGAAGAGGTAGCTATAGC